TCCAGATCTGGTAGACAGATGAGCCTGTTGAGCAGCTCCGAATTGATGGCCCTCACCACCTGCAGAACGAGACAGACAACAAAGTGTTAGAAGGGGTGCCTTATGTCTTAGGAGGAGAACCCACCGCCCACCTTCCCTCTCAAACAAACAGCCCGGGAATCCCCTCCTCAGAACTCCCCCCCCCCACAATTCAGGGTGAGTGGAGGAGCTCCCTCCCACTCCCACTCCCACTCCCACTCCCACTCCCACTCCCCCCTGCTCTCTCGCTCAGGGAGGGTTTTTAAAGAGGCCGTGGGTGCCTTATGTCTTAGGAGGAGAACCCACCGCCCACCTTCCCTCTCAAACAAACAGCCCGGGAATCCCCTCCTCAGAACTCCCCCCCCCCACAATTCAGGGTGAGTGGAGGAGCTCCCTCCCACTCCCACTCCCACTCCCACTCCCACTCCCACTCCCCCCTGCTCTCTCGCTCAGGGAGGGTTTTTAAAGAGGCCGTGTGGCAACCCCAATCAGCTTCACCTGGCCCTTAACTGTGTTGCAGCGTCTGTCTCAGCTGCCCCTAATTAGCCAGGATTGCTGCTGTTCCCTCTGCCAGAGCAGCCTCTCTCCCCTTCCCCCAAGTCCTTTAACCAGCTCTGTCACACAATGTAAAAGATGCTTTACAGAAGAGTGGCTGTTAGGTCCCTAGCTTCACAGGCTGGATTCTGCAGTGTGTTATTCTGTCAAAAGACTATAGCCAGTCAGGCCTCAGAAGTTGATAGCTCTAGTTGTGGACAGCTCAGAGCAAAGGTACAAGGAGGATACATTGGCTTGGGTCATCAGCCCAGGTCAGTGGTCTCCAACCTTTTTAACCACAAGATCACTTTTTACATTTAAGTGCAATGTAAGATCTACCTGAAGCCCAAATATCCTTGCCCTGCTTCCTTCCTGCCCCTTCTTTGAGGCCTTGCCCGTGCTCCACCCCTTCTCCGAGGCCTCCCCCTGCTCATTCCATCCCCCTTCCTCACTCGCTTTCACCAGGATGGGGTATTAGGTTGGGGTGCAGGCTCTTGTCTTGCGCCAAGGAGTTTGGAGTGTGTGAGGGGCCCAGGGTGAGGTATTGGCGTCCAGGAGAGGTTTCAGGTGCAAATTCTGGGAAGGTGGGACTTATTCTGGGTGCAGGGGGACTTCTGTCTGGGGCAGGAAGTTGGGTATAGGAAGAGGGTCAAAGCTGGGACAGGGGTTCAGGAAGGAGACTCTAGCTAGACACTGTTTAATTGAAATGGCTTCCAGGTGGTGGAGCAGGGGGATTAAGGCAGGCTTACTCCTGCCCTAGCCCTGCACCACTCCTGAAAGCAGCTGGCATTTATAGCAATAGCTCCATGGTGTCACGTGCTGCACCTCATCTACAGGCATTGAGCCCACAGTTTCTCCTGGCCACGGTTCCCTGGTATTGATCAATGGGAGTTGCAGAAGGGCGTCTGCAAGCAAAGATAGCATGTGGCGAGCTCCTGCTCTGCCTTTCTCAGAGGCCAGCCACTTCCAGAAGCATCAGTTACCACAGGGATAATTACTCCAGCCACAACAGGTTAGGCATTTTAGAACGTACTACTCAACTAATTAAATTTAAGAGTAAGAGAGAAATGAAAATTATGAAATGCACAGACCAGTCAAAACCAAAAATAATGCACTTTGAAAGCAGTAAAAGTAGTAACAACAACCCCCATACATTGTTGGGTTGGGAGATGAGAGTGAAGGACTGTGTGTTTGTGAGAATGACACACACACACACACACACACACACACACGCTTTGTCTAAACTCGCAAGTTTTTCCGCAAAAGCATTTGACTTGCCAGCTGTCTACACTGGCCACTTGAATTTCTGCAAGAACACTGACGATCTCATGTAAGATTGTCAGTGTTCTTGCAGAAATACTATGCTGCTCCCGTTCGGGCAAAAGCCCTCTTGAGCAAATGCTTTTGCACAAGAGGGCCAGTGTAGACAGCACAGTACCGTTTTGCGCAAAAAAGCCCCGATGGCTAAAATGGTGATCAGGGCTTTCTTGCACAGAACCGCGTCTAGATTGGCATGGACGCTTTTGCGCAAAAGCATCCGTGCCAATCTAGACGCTCTTTTCCGCAAATGCTTTTAATGGAAAAACTTTCCATTAAAAGCATTTGTGGAAAATCATGCCAGTCTAGACGTAGCCACTGTGTGTGACAGAGATTTGCATTGCCAAGCTCCCTCCATCCCCTTCTCTGTGTTGAGATGGATACAGAAGTGGGGGGAAATGGAACACCTTGACATCAGCACCTCCTCTTCTCCCAACCACACCCTGCAGAGCAAGCAGGAGGCTCTGGGGGTCAGCTCCAAGGCAGAGGGCAGAAGCAGCATGACAGTAGGTGGAGAAGCAACTGAAGTGCCAGTGCTTGATAGCTTCCTGGCCAAACCCATCAGGATCACCTGTCAGAGGCTCCAAGATCTACTGAAAGATCCCAATTTACTGGTTGTTGACCATTGCTCTAGGCAGATGCTGCTAGTGAGCCTTGTATGGAGTCATAACCCCATATTTAAAAACTAGCTGGACTTACCCGGCATTGCTTGGGAAACCGGAGGAACAAAATTTAGAAAATTTAGGAAAGGAGGGGACCCTGAGCCAGGGGACCCCCAGAGCCACAAACCGTGGGGGCTGATGGCTCCTGGCTCACATCTGACCCTCTGAGAGCAGCAGGACCCTCCTCCCCCCAGGACCGAGCAGCCAGCCCCCAAGAGAACACAGTCATGTGGCCAGAAGCAAGGGGACTTCTCTTTGCAAGGTTGGCTCAGGGACAGGACCGAGGAGCCAGCCCCCAGGAGAATAATACACAGTCATGCAGCCAGTAGCAAGGGGACTTCTCTTTGCTTGCCAAGACAGGGATCCACCTGCCCTGCCTTGGCAAGCAAAAGCTGAGCTCACATCTAACCCCGATGCCTGGACCCAGACACAGAAGAGCCCCATTCACAGTACGAACAGCAACCAGCTGGCTTCACAGCACTGTAACACATCGAGGGTTTAACCCGGCCCCTCCGCCCTGCGCTGCAGCAGGCACACAGATTCCTTCTGCTCAGATAAGCCCAGCAAGCTGAGCAGAAAGGCTGGCCAGCTTTGGTTTCCAGAGGGGCGGGGGTAGCAGGTGGAGAGGAAGTTACACACAGGAGGGGATCCCCAGCTCGCGTCCAGAGCTGCGGGTGGCGCAGGGCGGCTGCCCGAGCCATTGTGCACATGGAGGGTGGGGGCACTCCATGCTGGTGGGGGGGAAGAGGGTCAGTTATGTAACCTCACGGGCAGGAGAGGGGTGAGTCCTGGGAGGCTACACATGGGAGGGGCGCCCCAGCTCGTGTCCAGGGCTGTAGGGGGCAGTGCGGGACCCCAATCGGGTCCAAAAGTACCTTAAAACCTTCTCCAGGATAGCCATTGTGCACATGGAGGGTGGGGGCACTCCATGCTGGTGGGGGGGAAGAGGGTCAGTTATGTAACCTCACGGGCAGGAGAGGGGTGAGTCCTGGGAGGCTACACATGGGAGGGGCGCCCCAGCTCGTGTCCAGGGCTGTAGGGGGCAGTGCGGGACCCCAATCGGGTCCAAAAGTACCTTAAAACCTTCTCCAGGATGAAAGGTTCTCCAATGCAAAGTTTGGTTGCGGTAGCTCTTGTAGTGTCCAAATTATTAGCACACAAACATACAAACATTCTCCTTTATATATATTAGATTTAAGGTCTGGAAAATGTGTAAGAGAGACTGAAGAAGCTCTATCTTGTTTATCCACAAGAATGTTAAGAATGACATTGGACCAAATTTCGGAAAAGCCTCCTCTTTTGGCAGAGCTCTTCTTCCTCGTAGGAGGAGGAAGACAAGGCTTCCGAAAGAGCGCGTCTGCTCTTCCACAAAAAAAAGAGCAGACGCGTTCCCTGGACGCAGCAGACATAGCCTGATGGTAAATGGCTCTTAAATCTGGCAGATAAAGGTATAAGATCTATGGTTTGGAAGATGAAACTAGAAACATTCAGATGAGAAATAAGGATATTAATAAACATTATTTAAAGAGCAAAGGAAGTTAACCACTGGAACAATTTACATAGTAATGTGATGGATTCTCCATGACTCCAAGTCTTTTATTTCAAGACTGGATATCTTTTAAAAAGGTATGCTATAGCTCTAACAGCAGTTATGGGCTCCATACAGAAATTACTGGGTGAGATTTTTTGGACCTCTGTTATGCAAGTCATCTTAGGTGAGCATATGAATCCATGAAACTCTGATTCTACTGCCAAAAATGGAAATTTTGTCATTGACTTCAAAGCAGGACCAGGATTTTACCCAATACATCTGACAGTACATGCAAGGTAAATTCATACTAGTATGTTTTGCAAAACCCTTTATTTAAAATTAGCACTCTCTTTGAAAAAAGAATCAGGGTATCTTGACTTTAACGTCTAGCAGAGGAATAAGTCAATGCTTTATTACTCCAAACCTAGAATACTAGCTTTCAAATAGAATTTCTAGTCCTAGGGAGTTCATAACATATTGTAAAGCCTCTTATTGGTCCAAAACTAATTTACAGGGTATATGGCAAAGAATATGTTCTACATCAGTTTTGGGAAGGAAACATTTTTGTGGTACCTTTAAAGAACATGCTGAAAGTTCATCTGAAGTATGGCATATTTGATAGTTGTGGCAAAGATGGATGAGTTGGCAGAACATAAGTGAACAGAACAATAAGAGAACCCAATCATGTGAGGTGTAAGCTACCTCCTGCAAAATGCTATTCAGCATCAGCTCCAAAATTAGTTCAGGGACTCAGCACCTTGTAGCATCAGTTAATTAAATGACTGAAAGTATTGCCACAGGATTACAGAAACAAAGTTGTTTTATGGACACGGTGACGTGATATAACATAGGGAATGCATAAAAGTTTTTTCATTAGTATGTATTTGGGATTACCTCATTATACTTAAGTAGCTCTGCATCATCTCATGACACCACAACGTATCTATTTCACTAGAAAATGGACAAAGCTAAAAGCAGAATGTGTTCTCGCATTGCACAATACTACTTTTATTTGTACTGAGTGATGTACAATAAATATGTTTTTTCACCAGTTCTAAATAATAACTTTGTTAAAATACATTCCTTTATTTGGTTTGTTTTATAAAGCCACTCTTACTGAATACCACAGACTCAGACTCCAGGATGAATGTGTTTTTGAAAGAGTTTCTCTTACATGGTAAGATTACCTTCCAGAAAGAAATTATGGCAACTGCTTTAAATCTCAATCAATGACTCACAAGCTCTAGTTTAAAAAAAAAAAAAAAAAAAAAAAAGGACAGTAACTTTTTCTACCAAATCCTAGAGCAATTTTTAAGTTTTAAATATTAAAAAGGCAATCTACCTTGATATGTATCAAGCATTATTATTGTCTCATAAAATAATAATGGTTCTCCCTTTTTGATTACAGGCATGCATCAAACATGGAGCAAGGTAGTAAGTTAGGAAAGACATTCAAACACCTCTTCCCTGAAGGCACAATGACCTCAAGATCAATTGGAAAAGGTATAAAACTAGCTGTCTCAAATCAAATGTTGATCTTGATTCCCCATAAACTATTAAAGACACCCACACACACTAGGGAGAAGATGTATTTAAAATTAAAAAGTTTATAGGCACAGAAAAGTGACTTTGCAAGCTAAATAGGAGAACTTCACTACTAAGAATAGTTTGCTGTTTTGTGTTGGTAGCTCCAGGTATTTACCAATTTGTGTCTCTTTATGACAAACCTGACAAAGAGTTTCTGTAAAATATGGAATTAAATGTTATTATTTTCAGTATTGTACATGTTATGATTGGCACTTACACCTTTGAAGTCTAGTTACTGTAGCATCACATTCTATTAAAAGCACTACACAACGTTTTTCCTATTATGCACTTTGCAGCAATTACACTGATTGCTTTACTTTTTTTTTTAATGTCGGCAGTTACACAGTTTTGTCTGTGTAATGCCCCTTTCTTACAGCCTGAGAGAAATCAACCATTCATAGACTGAAAGGGAAAAAGTTGTTCTACTGTGCATTTCACATTCTGTCATTTCCCCTTTTTTTAAAAAGGAAAAGAAAACAAACACAACCTGAGCTCATGACTTAAAGTAATCTTCTATAAGATTCTGATGGTTTTAAAAATAAAAAAAACAAGTTCACATATTCTAATGATGAATGTAACAAGCAACTCAAAATAAGATAACTTGCTTGTTGCTTTTCACTATGATGAAACAGATTCCATAATTCATTATGACAAGTAGTTAGAATAAATAAAATCAAGAGCACTATGCAAATATCTTATTTAAAAAACAGAAGGCACCACAATTACAATAAAGCTTCATCCCATCATGATTCATTTTCCCCCTAAAAAGTAAAGACCAATAAAAGACATTAATTATAATGCATAAACAATTAGTCAAGATTACAAACTAACTATCTGGCTCTACAGGGAGAAGAGGGATGCAAGCTACTTTAAAGTAAATGGCACTTTCAATCAAATTTGGCTTTACTAGTATTGTTCAGATTGATTTTCCTGTTATCAACTTCCTATTTAATTTTGGAAATGATGAAGATAACATTTGCTGTTATTTTTTAGAAGAGTCACAATTTGCAGTGTTAGAGAGTTTTTGTCTTGAATTGCTCACAAGTTGTTCTGCAGGTTGCACTTTGGGTGTTCCTGGAACTGCCACTTGGTAGAAGCTTGGTAACCGGATGTCGTATCGAACTCCTTTTCCTAGATGCACTCTGTCATTCAAGGCATATAATTTATCAGCAATGTCACTCCCAATTAAAATTGAAAACAGACGCGAGATGAAACGGTGTTTAGCAAAGAGCAAATACAGTTTCTTTCTCCTCCAAGCCACATATCGACAGTCCGTCTCTGCTGTAAGAGTTACCTGTAAAATGAGATTTAAAAAAGCTAAATTCTGGTGTACTGATGTTGACTATATAATTTGTAAGTAGGGCTCAGGCCTGTTTTTATTCAGAAGAAACTCCCAGGGGCTTCAATGGGAAAGCCGCACAAATAAAAACGGCATAATCAGGTTTTTATCAGAAATGACCACTGAAATCCTACAAATAGAAATAGTCCTCTGAAAGTGCCACTAGTTCTTCTTGGATTGCTCGCTATGATATGCATGTGCCTTATTCTTTCTGTTCTACTTATGCAACAGATGAAGTTAACTGAGCTATGCTAATTTAAGCCACCTGAGACTATGACCCTGGGTTCATTGCAGATAGTAGTGGGGAAGATGACCAAGAATTTCTAGTTTCCTTGAATCCAGATGTTCTCTAGATGTGTCAATCCAGATGAAATGTAAAAATACCCCATTACATAATATACAGTCTAATTCTGAAATACGTAACAGGATAATTTTTTCTAAGCATCAGATTTTGCAGGAACAATATAAAATTAAATAGAAAGGATATACAAGCAATATACAGAATCAGTCAATTGAGTAACCAAACCTCCCTCCCTTATATACTGAAAATTCCAAACTTGAGTGTAACAAAAATACATTATTTTCTAATGCAATTAACTGCTCAACAGCCCCCCAAAAGCCTCATGTTTTACCTGGAAAATACCCTCTTCTGTCGGTCTTAGGGAATCCCATTCCGGAGAATCCAGAAATTGAAGGGGAAAAATATAATGCAGAAACTCTCCATCAACTGTCACTCTGATCCTACCAAAATACAGTGGAAATGTGAATACTGCACACATAAAAGTAGATAGAATAGTAAGCTACTTCTAATACTAAACAGCACTCAAATGTAAGAAACTTTAATTTCAGCATAGGGAGTTGAGGTCAATTAGGTCTATGTTTATTTGTTCATGCTGTTTATCATTCCATAGGCGACTGGATTGTGGAAGGGCTGAATATGCAGTGTGTCCTGACATAGCTGATGTACCTAGAGATTGTGAAAAAGCCTGATCCACCTTCTTCTGAGCCAGAGAACCCCCTTATCTATTTTCTGACTCTACCTTTCAGAGAGATGAGGTGAGATACATGGCAAACCACTTTGGTGACATCCCTCATGCAATAATTTTCCCATGCAAGACAATGCTGTTTCAGGATCTGTGATTAAGACCATGGTAAAATCCCAAAGACACTGGGCCTTTGAATAGCACAGCCTTCTACAGACCAACATTTTCCATGAGTTAAAAATACTCTAGGACACAACTGCACCAGGTTGCTATTCTGAGGGCTATTGAGCATAGGGCTTAATGCCTCTCATCTCATCTCCCATATGCGCAGAGATGCAAGTCTTTCCTCGCACCCTATGAAGGAGCACTTCCTTACATAGGTGACCAGTATGGAGGGATGGACACTACTCCTGCAGCACAGCTAGCACTCATGCAGACACTAGCAGAGATTGTGGCTGTGCCCAGCTGTCATTGGGGAAAGGCTGTTTGTTTCTTATGCCTTTTCCACTCTTTGGACACTCAGGTTCTGCCTAGAATATAATATAGTGATACTCTAGCATTCACTGCTATACAGTGTAGCACAATATTGTTTCTCCCGCTAGTCTGGTTATACTAATAGAGAAAATATTTTTATATGATCAAAACAATAACTGAATAACAAATATAGTGTAAACATTGATGAATGTACTCCCTTTATTTGAATTACTTAAGAAAAATGGAAGTGGTATAATAAAATGGTATGAAAAGAGTTATTACTCTTGTTCATTAAGCTGTTATGGCTTTTGTGTTCAATGTGCTATCATCTTGGAGACTTCCTGGACATATCTGAAGTTTTGTGTCCGACTATTTAATCTCCATTACTTGAATAAAATGTGAACCAACAATATATAAAGACATTACTGTTTATTTCTGTATTTTGAAGGCTGAAACCTTCCTTCCCCCATAAATACATTAGAACAAACTGATACAAACCTTCCAGACACTAGCATAGACAGTTTATCAATAGGTGTTTTGCCTTGCATAGCATAACAATGCTCCTTCTCCAAGGTAACCACTTCTGCATCACAGCACAAGACAATCTTCCTGAAAACAGTCAAGGAGATTCCCAGAGGCTGAAAAAGAGAACTGTAGAGTTCCTGGAATTCTTTTTCAAAAGAAACACTCCGAATTTGGTAGGTAACATAAATAAATTGTATGAAGCATATCACAAACAGGACAAAGTTCCAGGAGAATATATCAGCAGCACAGACATCCAGCCAAGCCCATATAGAGGAGCAGAGAAAACCCAATCCAAGCAAACTGAAAACATACATCAGCCCAAAGAATCCACTTCCTCCCATGAAGCCAACAATAAACAGAATACTAGCTAGATGGTAGATAGCTCCCTCTGCCTCTTGCTTCCAGGCTACACAAGTAGGATGTGCATATATTAAGCTCTCCCAAAAACTTTCATTTTCTCCCATGGCTGGACTAATTATTTGGTTCAGTTTAAAGTCTCTGACTTATTAAACTTTATTTATATAGGTACAAGTAGAAAGTTCCATTGCTTTTCCATCTTTGTAGCCACTGCTAACTGATCACCATAATGCCAGGCTCTTCTATTTTAAGCATCTAGAACGTTAGGGTTCTCAGAAGTCCATGTTCTTTCACATCGGCCCATGTATCCTTCCAATTTTGGTTGGATCCATAACATGATCTGGTCTGGCCTAGTGAAGAAAAGAGAGGAACATTTATACAAACAGTTGCATAAATTAGCTCTGATAAGCTTTTATGGTTGTATGCTAGTATGACTTCTTGCATAATACAGGTCACAGAATTTCACCAAGTGGCTCCAGCATCAAGCTGATAACTTCTGTTTTAAAGACTTCAGGTGATGGGGAAACACCCTCTAGATGTGTTTTTCTAATGGTTAATTATTCTTACTATTAAAAATTTGCACACCTTATTTCTAGGCAAACAAAAAAAACAATCTTTCCTTGTCTTGGATATCTTTCTTAATACCATACTGTCATATATTCTGCAATAGTCCTTTTAGGACATTGAAGGAATTTGGCATGAAAGATGAGATTGAATTAATTCCTTACTCAACCTGCTAACAGATTATGGTAGAGGTTATTTTATAGCTATGTCAATAATCTTACAAGCCATATGCTAAGATAAAAACTCTGCTGTTTATTAATATTTTGAATTATGCACCATGTACAGTATAAACAAAAAAGTCAAGACTTAATATTGTAATAATGATATAAGTGAAATACAAGTCATTTAATAACAAAGCAGGAGGAAGTACCAAAATATTCTTGTTAATATTTTAATATAATAATCCGTTGGGGTGGAATTTCAAGTAATATTTCCAAGTGAATTCTATGTATCTATGGCCCGCCATCATGATGTACTGGTGATCCTTCCAAGCATTTTCAAACAGAAATAAAAACAAAGCTTCTCTAAGTTTGTTTAAGCAATAGCTCGTTTAATTTGTACTTTGGGGGATTTTGCGTACAGATTATGAAAGGTGAATTTATTGAGAGAAAGCTGAGAAAAATGCAAAAGTTTTGCATTTGACAGAGAGATCTGGGGTCACTTATCTTCTGCAGGCATGGGTCCCTTAGAGTATGTCCAGTTCCTGTGAAAATAGTCTCCTGCTTTCATGAATCTCCCTCTGTTGACTGGCAGTTTCATTGTTCCAGCTGACTATAGCAGCACTGGAAAGTCATGGTTGCTGAGTGAGAGCCAGGGCCTGTTCTATGGAGGCCTTTGAAGATTAGGGCAAAGAACTAAACAGGACAGTTTTCTATGGGAAGCCAATAGAAAGAGTAGAGCACTATAGTGATGTGTTCATTTTTAAGAAGATAAAAGCCAATAATCCACAATGATGTTAAACAAGCTTTACCTTAGGTGCACTGTTTCTGTAGTTAATTTGCCTTAATTTCTTTTGGTGTTTCCATGTAAACATGGCCTGATTATGCCACAATGTAAACATCGCTTCACCACGCAACACTAACTTTACATTATACATAAACATATAAAGTATCTTGACGACACATGCATTGTTCACGGGGAAAAGCACCCAAACCCCAGAACTAGTATCTTTTAATTATATGGCCAACAGAAATGCATTCTATGACCCAAGACATCTGAAAGGGCACATTATGTAAAATGCATCATAGTAAGTAAATGTGATTCATAAAATGTAGTTGAAAATAGATATTAGGGCTTGCCTTAGTCACACTGGTATCAATTAATAAATAGTGCTACTATTTCTACTATTATTCCATCAAAAGCAGAGTATTGATGATGCAGTTTGACATGGAGGTACAGTTTGACCTGACAAATGTTTTACATGAAGGATACAAATACCAAAATAAAGAAGCTACTACTTGGCAAGGCCTTCCTGTAAACACCATGTTTTGTGTCAGAGTGCTGAAAATGAAACTTGGGCAGGAGGGAATGTCTTCTGGCAGCTAAGTGAGTAGATCCAAGGAACATGGTAGATGGCATGATTCTCAGGCGTAGGAAGTTCAGCTCTGACATCATGCCACCCAGGTAAATGCTGGTTCATGCCTGAATAATCTGCAGAGAAGATCTGAATTTGAAGCTAGAGGGGTGCCTAATCCAAAGCCCTCTGAAGTAAATGGAAAGACTCTCATTGGCTTCAGTGAGCTCTGGATCATGCCCATAGTAAGAGAAACAATAGCAGCATAAGAACTGCTGCTGCAAGGTATGTGGAGCTTTCCAGTCACATGCAAAGTTTTCAAGTATGGTCAAGGGTCTCCAGTTTTTCTCATGGATCCCCACTGTATTTTTATATTGTAGGGCCTATTGCTAACCATCATATCCAGCTCAATGAGCAAGTGAACCTGCGTAGACACCCAAAGTATACTAGAAAGGGCATGATGTAGCTTTTTGTTTGCACTGCAACCCCAGCTCCAGCTCTCACAGCCGCCACGTAGCCTACCCCGGGAGCAGCCAGGCAAACACCACGTGACTCTGGCCACAGCCTCAGCCTTGGAAAAAGGCTGGAGCTGGGGCTGTGGGTATTCAAAATTTGGAAGAGTGCTGGATCTTTAGAAGATTTTTTTATTTATTTTAAGAAAAAATATTGGATTTTGGTTCATTTTTTGCTATTAATCACCTTATAATAGGATACATTTTAGTGCTAAGCACATTGTTTAATGGAGAACAAACATACATAAAATCTTGTCCATCAAGTGGTACACTTCCCAATTATATTTTATTCTACAACCAAAAAGATCTGATTTGTAGCAGCAGAACAATGCAAAGACAGGACTTGCACCATATCTTCTCCTTAGCATTTATGATTGCTTGCATCAGTTGGCTCCCCAATCAGCATACTGGATTTTTTAAATCCCATTTTGAGGCACTTAACTCTTTCCAGGCACAGTGTAGGAATCCTGGGTGTCTAACTCAGGCTCATGAACAGCTGTGGGTGGACATACAGTATTTATTTCCTTCAACAGCTACATTTTTACCTCCACAGCTGTTAAAACCTTTGCCCTAAATAGGACTTTTCTGATTTTGACAGAAGCCAGGCAAATACAGAGTAAAAAGTTTTCAAAAGCTATAAACTTTTCACAGAAGTGAAATTCAATATCCCAGGCAGCTCTAGTAAAAGCACTCTTGTATCAGAGGCAGCAGTACTGAGGGAGCGGGTAGGGGGTGGCGGGATCCGGCTCCTTCCTGTTCCCCCTGCCTCCAATACAGCGTGTGTTCCTTGATAGTTCCTTACTTAACAGTTTCTTTAGGTACAGGACATATAGCTGTAAAGGCTACACAATGGCCATTACAGTGACATCATCAATTTATCCTAAAGATGTTAAATTGTGGTTAATTGACTACTTGACAGGCACTTCCTCATTCCTTCTGGGGCTCTTGTACATTTCAAAGAAGGAATGCAGAACACTGGGTGCAGTCAATAGCAAAACTTCCACAGAAGTCTTCAATAGAAGCAGATCAGGTACTCAAGAGTCAACATATCTGACATAAGAGATGTGATCATCACATAGTACTACAGTATTTTTTTTTAAAAACAACCAATAATATTTCTTCAGGTACTGAACTGGCTTTGTGGAAGTGATCTGAAGAGGGATTCAAGAAATAATTAAAACCAGAGGAAAAACTATTTACTAATTTTAATAAGAATGGCAATATTCCACTAATCCTCCCAACAAGGAAAGAAAGAGGAGCCAGAACTTGCACCAGCTGGGAACTGAACCCAAACCAACTGCTTGGAAGGCAGCCATTCTAACCACATCAGCAATGCTATGCCTAAATTTTGATCCAAGCTATTTGAATATCCTCTTCTATCACCATTTAATATGATAAAATGTAAATTATATTAGAAACAACCATACACAGAAGAGTGTATGCGTTTAGGGAGAGGGGATGTTTTTTGTACATTTCAGAATCTATAAAGAACATTTATTATGTAAATTACATTTTTGATAACACTACAGTAACACTATTGTATCAGCATATATTGGTCACTGAACACTACAGGTTAATTATTCACCTGCAATGAATGCTGAGAACACTAATTTCTGAAAAACTTAAGATGTGATCTGTTCGCTTCTCTAATACTTCAGTCCTTTTAATTAAGTCAATGCTTACTATGCTTACTCAGGCTTCAAGCAAATTGCCCAATAGTTGGAATGTATTAAGTAGAAAAGATCTCCGAGTTTCTGCACTATTTCAAACTGCATGGGATGGCTGGATTTAGCTCTCACATTCTTAAGTTTACGTTTTCCATTTCTTTCAGTTTGAACAAATCAATGAAGTCAGCTTTGCTTTTGTTTATGGTCAGTTTAACTTTCAGATCCTTAGTGCACTTAAGTTTGTGTATTAAACACTGCTTATTTGCTCTCTCACAAATGTTTTCACTGGATTTTAAATTGCTGTGGAAACACTTCCATTAGTGATAAGCTTTATAAAAAGATTGTTTTTACAAATATTAACATGTTTTGAGTTTAAGTTGCCCTTTTCTGTGTATGCAGGTCAATTTTTCTGAGGAAAAAAAACCCGATAGCCCTGAATGTCAGAAGTGAACGAAATAGTGGATAGTCATACAAGTTCCTAAATAAACATGTGAGTATTTATGTATACTCTGGCTCTGGCTTTTTTATTCACTGGATGTGTATATGCAACAAAATCAAAGATATTTTAATGGCATCATTCCTTTTCTAACTTAACTGAATGAAAAAGAAATGTATATAGAATAATTTAAGGTTATCAAAAGTGTCATGTACAGTGAAAGATTTTGCTATTATAAATGTTTTGTCAAGATTTTAACTATTTACTTTATTGTAATTTACCTAAAAAATTTAGGTAATTCCTTTTTTAGTACTTTAAACATTACAAGACAATAGCCCACAATGGAGATACCTAAATTCTAAATAACATTTTATTTTAAAAACATTATCATTTCTTTTCCAATTTGGATGGGGACTGACAACCCACAGAAAGTACATAATACTCCAGGAGAAATCTGAGTTAGACAGGCAATGCTATCCAAATTAAATGGGCTAGGTAGTATCTTTTCTTTAGTTCTTTCAGATCAGGCATATACTGTTCACGAAGCACACTGGCAGACTGAAACAATCCAGATCTTTTATTTTTCTAAGTATGGTGCATTACTAGTACTGGAGGAAGCCTGAATAAAATTCTCATATGTTAAACATGATTAATACTGCACTGGCCAAATAATATAGTGATCTAGATTTATTGTATTTTGTAATTAAAACAATAATGTGAAATCAAACTTCATTCCTGTTTAGCTTTTAAACAGTTTTAAAGAAATTTACTATGCAGCAACAGTGCTAATTTTACAGCTGTGTTAATGAACTACACTTGAACCTTGCAAACACAGTTCAGCTTAAAATTAATTAGTTTGTATTTTGAATAACCATATGAGCTGCCCCTGGCAATCCTACAATTCGTACATCAACAAATTAAGTGCATGCAGCATGGTTGGTTATTTCCAAACCAAGTACACACTGAGATTTGGTTCATCATAATGCAGCAATATGAAAGCCAGACTACAAAAGAGGAAAATAATTAGTTACTAGTTCAAATAGATAAAATGAT